CTTGGATTCCTTCCTTCGACACTACACCGGCCATCACCATTTTATCTTTCATCGCGCAGGGTGGGGAACGTGTTTTTTTTTGATCACGCTGAGGTTCATCCGTCACCGTGGATTTGTATTGTTTGCTGAATAACAAAGAATTTTGAAGGGTTTTGAAAAAAATTTGTTTCCGCTTAAACAGTTTTTCCATTGAAAAAAGAAAGAAAAATATCCAGGGAAGGGAACTAATTTTTAGCGGCTGTGAAGTTTTCAGCTCGCCTTGGCTAAATGTATGAAAACAAGATGTTGCGGAAAAGTTGAGAAAAATCGACAAAGAAGCTGTCACAAATCCATATAATGCCCAGAGAAAGGCAGTCAAAAAAGAAAATGATGCACACCGTCTTTGCGAGGCTGCCAAAAAAAGATCGCTGTATTCGGCCTTGAAAAGCAGACACAGCAAAGTGTTTTCAGACTAAGCCTTAAGTCAGTAGTGTAGTGGATAGCACACCGCACCCCAGGTATGAAAAGGAAAGGTTCAATTCCTTCCTAGTCCAACTGCAGAAGAGAGCTTCGTTCGCAACACAAGCCCACCCACTAAGAGTAATCCACTGAAGTGATAAGCTAGCGATAAAATTATTAAGCTAGAATTTAACACTTGCTGATGCAAATATAGCACTATTTTGTTTGCTAAAACGCTTTAGCTGTGAAACTATCAATTTACTTTATCTCGGTGCTGGAGAACAAAATTTGGTTGTCCACAAAATGGAACCAAGATATTTGAAGAAAGAACGAAGCTCATATATAAATTAACTAGTTTTCTGCTGCACAATTATCATGATTCTGCTGAGCGGAACGTAATAATGGAACCAACCATCATGCGGCCGGAATTCATGTGTGCAAAATATGCCCGATACAACGGATCGGAACCACAAATGTGGAAGGCAAATGAAGAACTGCTCTCGTCCATTGAGCCCAAGCTGTCCAGAATTTCGCTGTCTTCGATGCCTGTAATTTGCGGATTAATCAAGTGGGTAAAAAAGCTGGTGCATTTTAGTTAAATAACTCCTAGTGTTACAGTGATGAAATCATAGGTCTCCGCTACTAGGCCAACGAAGCTTTTCTGTGTCTGATATCTTAGAATATACTTCACAATTAAGCGGAGTGTTTCCGGTACTCTTGAGGGCTGAGGGTGTGGTACGTTCTGCATCTAGCTTTTGCGTGATATACACATAAGCGTTGCAGAAGTTTCGCTCGAAGCCAGTGTGTGTTGAAGTAAAAGTGGATATAAGTCAAAAAACGCTCGAGGATAAAAGGAGCTAACGGTTCAGTAATTTGACACGTCGCATCCGCACGTAAGGACAAAGAGACCGATTTCCTGCTGGTCGGTACTTTATTTGCAAAATGGCTCCGTCGCGAGAGTAAGTGCGAAGACATTCAATTTCCGCTACCATGAAGCGACGATTCCCTCAGATTTTGATTTCGTGAAGCTTATCATCACATGTTGGCCATTATGGGGTGGACTAATTGCTGGGAGGTGCCGACCTCCTCAAAGATGCGATGATAAAAGAGGAAGAGAACCAGTCCCGGGACCAGCTACTAGATAATGAGTTTGTTTGAAAAACAAGAAGCTGTGAAAACGATGTAGCGGAACAGTGTAAAATAAACATCCAAAACACACGCAAGAACCAGTTAGCCGTGACAAACTTTTTACGCACATGTAAACCTCAAAAATATTTGAGCGAAGTAATTAGACCGCCCTAATTTGCTTCTAAGCAGTCCTCGAAAGAGGTAGTCTTTCCAGCGTGTAGTTGCTGTTGACGTTCGTTATAACTTGGGCTACTTTTCAAGTTCCTAAACCTTTCACAGAAAGGGAATACCGAAGGAGTTTTGACCCTTGACCGGAACAAGACAACTGTAGAACGAACCGAGCTTTGAGCCGGCCAGTGGCTCCATCACTGTGCTTTCCTTACCGTGAGCCATTTCTCCAGCGTTCAGATTATCCTCAGCACTTGTTCACTGCGACCACCCATACTGTGCAATCTAAAAATAGTACGCACTTTTGCTTCATACTCCAAATACATGGATCATTCGACGCAGCACGACAACAATGAATTGCTTTCTTTGCAAATCAAAAG